TAAATATCTTGAAAGACTAAATCAACTGGACAGCTATCACATACGTCACGATAGAGCCCAGTGAAAACGTCAGCTTACAATCCGATCGGGCCGTCGAAAATCATGTCGCTTCTCGCCACAATCTTCCTGAGAAATGAGGGGACTATCTGTATACGGTCGAAATAGATTTCGGCCTCCGTACGTTTGTTCGAGTTCGAATGGTAAGCGATCGAAGTGAGAGCTTGAGACGAGTTCCTAGGATAGTACAAATAAGCCTCGAGCTCAAAGACCGATCGAGGAATCGGCTCGGTATCATTATCAAGCCCATGACCAAATCGAACCGCAAGGCAAAGAGAAGATTGTCGGAGATGCACAGACCGATTGACACTCACCCCGAATGTCGAACTCGAACTCAAGGCTGAGGGCTCGACCCAATACCGAGCTCGAGCCAATATCGAGCTTGCAGACAGGACCCGTTGCAACCGCATTAGGGGAGAGAATCTTGGCAGGAATCGAGGAAGAGACAAGTCATCATGGGTTCTCCATTATATATTTTTTATTATAAATAAAGTAAGATCCCTCTACTATAAAAGGGGGAATCCTTGTAAGCACAAGCAGTTTCACACATTGTTAGAAAAGATTACTTCTATTTATTAAAGAATAAATCTCTTAAGCATATTTTAATGAGCATACTCACTCTTCTAGTTCAACAATTTATGTCCTATTTCTATAGCCAAGAATCAAAATATTTTCACTTCTACGTACGATTTATGTTAAGTTATATCACATATCCTTAGAACTACTTATAAATTTAACTATATCCGATTTTTCGGGTAAACAATATACTATGAAGCATAGTGAGAGGGAATATATTTTATGAACACTAAATCTATGGGTCGCTATCATTTCTTTTCCTCATTAAGGGAATTAATAGGTGTTAGCGGTAAGAGATTAAACATATGTCATTTTCTTCTCTACTGCAATATTCGGATTGCTGGAGTGCAGAAATCACGAGCATCACGAGATGCAGGTCAGGTTATAATTATATACATTGCCATCGGGACTGAGTTAGAAGTTTGGCTACGGGTTCGAGTAATTTTTTATTAAATCATGTATTTATATTAAAATATTTAATAAATATATAAAAATATTAAATTTAAAATCTAATTGTTAGCATTTGAATTTGTTGTTTTATTCATAAAGTTAAAATTCTAGTTCTGTCGTTGTCCGCCGTACACGTGGCTGCAATGCTTCTTCACAACTTTTTATCATCACTTCTTCAATTATTATACATATACTATACATATTAACGTTGTTAACTTGGTTTTCCTAGTTGCAAGTTAAATAGTTTTTAACCTTTATTGGCACCTGCTGACTACTAACTAGAAACGTTTCCTCCCAAACTCGGAATTAAGGCCAAAAGCAAGTGATAATCAAATCATTTTCTTTTTAGGTTGGATTACGGATATATGAAGATTCATAAACTAAAAGCTGAATTAAACAGGCTTGCTGCTAAAGGCGGATTCAGAATATTAACGGTCACCTCAAGTGTTAATAAATGAGTTCGGAATTAATATTTATTCATATTTTATGAATGTACATGTATTCAAGCTTTAGAAGAAAAGAATAAAGAAAGTTTGGAGAAAAGCTTCTTCTGATGGAAGGACTATAAAATTATTTAATATGGGAGTTGAAAAACTCTAATTGAAAAGGAGTAGTGCTTAATTAAAACCGTATTACAATTTGCAACAATACAACTAAATTGGTCTATTACGTATCACTTGACTATTCCGTTAGAAGTCATGTTCTTAGAAAGAACACAATTCTAGAAATAGAAATATGAGAAAGCTTCATTGAGAAAGGAGCATCTATATCATCTCATGCCTAAAGAATTAATTTTATTTTTTGTATCATTTTAAAAATTATGTGTAGTTAATTTCTTAAGTATCTTAGTAGTACAGGCTCTTTTAGAAAGATTTTTTTTTGGTTTCACATTAGTGTTTGATATCCGTTTTGAGATTGCGATTAATTTGTATTCACATCGCGTAAAGTTAATTAAAGGTGGAAGCGTTTCGTATTACTAGTGAAGTATGGCCAGAGTAATAGCGAAGTACAACTACCGGGAGCATAATAGGGCGGCGGACTCATTGGCAAAAGGAGCAAAAACCAACTTTTTGGGAATAACAATAATAATGCCAATTCCTCCGGTATTTGTAAATGAACTTTTTTAGACAGACATCCAAGAAACTAAAGTAACTAGAAATATTTTGGTATGTAATAATAATAATTTGGAATAGGTTTTGTCCAACATAGAGGGATCCAATATCTCCCTAACAATCGGTATTTTGTAGTGTAATTATTAATATATATATGCAAATTCCCACGTCAGCAAAAAAAAAAGTACGGAGAGATTCTATTAATTACATCACGATTCTTAAGGATTAAAAGGTTAGCTCAATGCTCGAACCCTAGATTTTTAATTAAGATTAAAAAAATCTTATCATAGTTTAAATTCAACAAGTAAAATTATGAAATAGTAGAGAACAAATGGACGTCCGGGTTATGTGGCGGACATTATTTTGTCTTTGCGGTCACGTTCACGTCATCAGCTACGTGGTACGTCACATTATTTTTTTAAATTATTTTGGAGCGACATTTTGAATGCCACGTTGTGGGACCCATCCCACGTCTAGATCCTATCTATTGCTGATGTCATCCCCGCAAGCGCTGACGTCGAGTATTACATATGTTTTCCGAATAAACTGTGTCGTTTAGATGACGTTCTCATTGCGCACCGTCCGCTTATCGATTTTCCTTTTTCTCTACCTGTTTACGTCACGCTCCATGTGCTTCTAATGTCTCCACCTTTTTTTATTTTCCTTTTAAATTTCTTTATAGAAAAAATTATTGCGAAATTCTTTTTTCATAGAGTCAAAGGCTCAAAAGAGTAGAATTAATATTCCTTGTTTCGTACAAAATCATCATAACCCAATTGATGAAGATCTATCAACAATCTAAAGTCTCTTTTTGATTAATGTATAGTATTTATATTGAGATTTTGATTAATTTGAATTTTATGAAAGAGAGATGTTTCATATCAGAATTTTTTTATTTCAAATATGAAATTATTGATTAAGGGAAGAGAGATCGTATTCATACTATAATCTAAAGTTTCTACATACATACGATAAAACAAACTGTACAAATTTCAGATAAGATTTTTTTGCAAACTGTCTTTTAATCAAACATTAATTTTCGTAAAAGCTGAAAAATTATCTAAAAGCAGATTTTACCTTTCCTTAAAAAGCAAAAGAATATTATTTTTAATGTTTGTCGAGAAACAAATTTACAAAAATTTGCAAAGTCTTCTACTAAAAAATATTCTTTTTAAAAAATTTTAAGCCAGCACCTTATTTGAGTTCCACCTTTTTAAAATTTATTTTGTTACCACGTAAAAAGGAAGACGGCCAAGAAGTAATTTAAGCTTATACCTCTTGCTTATCGGATAATCGGAGGACTAATTCAAAGAGTACTCTTTGTATCTCAATTGATGTGTACTTTTTTTAGTAACGAAAATATATTTTATTTTTTATTTAAAAATTAGTTAACTTTATATTTTTCATTCTATCTTTAATGAGATATTCCATAAACACGTAAATATTTATGGTCATTTTGGACTATAAACTTCAAATAAAATTTTTCTTAAATTTTATGTTCTATCAAATACGAATATTCTTTTTTCACAAAGAGAGATAAGGAGAAAGCCAAAGTTAGAGAAGTGTCATAAACAGGAATCTACAACAAAATAAGCCAATAAAGGATAAAAACGAAATAACTGACGTCAAGGAATGATGCAACATAATGCTTTGTAGAACTAATTATATACAGTTAAATGCAAGATTTGTTTCCAATTTTTTATGCCTACTTATTGGATATTGTTTGAGCTTACGACATGCCTGATATCATCTTCCTTTGAGCTATCCAAGCAACTTTTTGATAATGTTGACTATAGTTTCTTAAACATTCTCTACATATTTCTACTTGAGTAAATAAAGTCTTAGTAATATTTTTTATATAATTTGAAAATATATAATACACTATATTAAGAAATTAAGAAATCCATATCCAAATTTAGGAAATACACTTTCATTTTCTTTAAACAAATATTTTGATATAATACTCTTTCATTTTCTTTATTCAAATTGTAACTGATTATGAAAGATTACTTCGTCTCGATAAATCATCATTATCTAATTAAAGATAGATAATGGATGGGGTATCTTGTATGTCACATTTGAATTTGAATGGGTAAATTAAAGCGCAAATCAGTAAATGACCTAACTTAGTAAGCACCTTCTTCCATGAGAATATGAGATTAGGCCAACCATTTCTTATGGGATAATTAAATAGTCATCCAAAAGTAATTAGTACGTCAATCAAATTTTAGATTAGTTTATCTACGTGGTAATCTCACATCAAAACTTCAACCGAAAGCTCGACTACCCAATACTAATATAGATAGATTATTGCAAATTTTTGTCAATCCCTATAGAGATAGTGGCACTAATTTCTCATTTATGAATGACATAAATCTAAAACGAATTTAACTTTTATGGATAGATAGTGTAATGAACTATTATACTATAAGTATAATCCAAACCTATTGTATCGAGTAGCCAGTTTTATTTTTCAGGTGATTAATATTATTTATTATGAACAAATATATACTCATATTGTAGAAGTTAAACCAGTAAAATTTTCTTAAATTTTAAACTATATCCATATATAATTTTCATCAATTTTGCACCCGATATAGAATATATATAAAACCGACAATAGAGGTCATAATCAGAATTACCTAAGGATAATGTAAGCAAATGGTACCCACACTTAGATACACAGCATAGGCAAGTGATGACATATTTTAACGTAAGCCACAAACTTATGTTACGCGTATTATTATATCGTAACTGCCGTTGATACCCACCACCTTATAATTAGCCCCCACCCCCCTACCTACCTACAACCTCTCGTATATATATACACATTCACATCCGACTTATGTATACATCCTACACTACATATAATCCTATATATCTCTATGTACAATATCTAAGCGACACAAGAAAAAAAAACTAAAGAAAATCATAGCTACAATCTCTCTTTCTTCTTCTTCTTCTTATTATTATTATTACGTTTTTGACCATGCAACAAGCACTTCCTTACAAATCATCATGTTTATCTTTAACCTTACAAGATCCCAAACCCCTCAACCAAATGAATCATAGTACCAGCAGCAGCAGCAGTAGTACTTCTATGTATGTCAAAGGTTCAAAAGAGGAATTGAAGAACATGGTTAAAGACAACGCTGTTATAGTTGTTGGTAGACGAGGTTGTTGTATGAGCCATGTTGTCAAACGTTTGTTGCAGTGTTTGGGAGCTAATCCTGCTATTTATGACATTGAGGAACAAGATGAAAATGAGGTTATTGATGAGCTGGAGAATATTGTCGCCGCCGTCGACGGCAGTGATGATCGGAAAGAGGGTGGTCGTTTGCAGTTGCCGGCGGTGTTTGTCGGAGGAGAATTGTTTGGAGGTTTGGATCGGATTATGGCTGCTCATATTACTGGCGAGTTGACTCCTGTATTGAAACAAGCTGGAGCCTTGTGGCTTTGATTTCTTTTTTTTCTTTTTTTTTCTTTCTCTGCTACTAGTAATTTCGACTAATTGTTGAAGTTAAATTCTTTTCCTTTCTCCTCTTTTTTGTTTTTCTTTTCCTTTTTGGCCGTTGCCAAATAAATCAAACTTGGCAGATGTGGAAATTCTTGAACGGAGTACAAATTAATTATGGTAGCTTAAATGGAGAGGTGAGCACTCGGATTAAGACATAGTTGTTGTTGTATAAAAAAGTTACGGATAATTTCAATTACAAAAGTTGGGGTTAGAATAGTTAAACCGAAAATGGGGAGCTGCTCAAATATAGATAGTTGGTTTTGTGTTTTAGCCTTCGCCTTGATTGGTGCTGTGCTTTTTACTTAGTAAATTGCAGGTTGCATATAATAATTCAGTTGGTTAGTAGTGGCTTCTAAACTATAAACTTGTGATATTGAGATTTGGATCTTTTGGAAATTATAATTTGGCTACTTGTAACTCTCTGCTTTTGAGAAAAAAGCCAAGAGAATGGTCGTTGCAGGTTATATTATTTGATCTAATTTCCTAATTACTTGTATTTGTTTGAGTTGTTGACTAGTGAATAGTGCTTCTTCTCGGGTCCCCACTCTTAAACCAGTGACATGTATTACTCCGTCCGTTCCAATCCGTAGACACGGAGTTTAAGAAAAAATGAAGATTTTTGGAATGCGTAGTTCTAAACAAGTCAAAAAGGATTCAGAGTACAAACAGAAAATAGGTTCAGTTTTTCCACAACGCCGTTTGCCAAACTATAAAATAAAACAAAGGGAAGGAAAAGAAAACCTAACAAACATAAGATATTGGGGAGAATGACCCTTACTTTGATCTCACCAAATCTTCCATCTCTATCTTCAAATTTCAAAGTCTGCAGCAAATAGTGTGTTTGGTATGACGAAGCCAGTGTGAAAACTACTTTTGATGTTTGGTTGGTGAATGGAAATATTATCTAAAAAATATATACTGATATATTAGAGATCAGTACTGTTATTAGTAAATTGGAAAGTAAATTACAAAATATTTTTGAGCAACAAATATTGTGTCTTTCCTCTAAAGACAAGTGGAAATGTTTTACTCAAAAAATTACCTCTGCTATACCAAACACTATAAAATAACTTTACCATAAAATATATTTTGGTGAAAAATACTGTCACACAAAACACACCCAATCTCATTGTAATTGGCTCTTATCATTCCAATTGATTTTTCTCAAATTATTTAATAATGGAATGCAACAAAACCGGGTAAAACAAAATAATTACTGATGATTCTTATAGTTTATTACAACTAATTGGAATTGGAATATATTCATTGACTATAACGTCTCCAGCAGAAATTGGCAGTTGTTCAAGATCATCACTGTTGTAGACCACTTTCTATATACAGGGTTTAAGGAGAAAGGATCAAGCAGGCAAAGGCAAACATAAGGTGGTGCTCATTTTGAAAATATTTCTTCACTCTTTCGTTTTTCATTCTCAAAACAAGAAAAAGAAAAAGAAAAGAGCAGAAAAATCTGGTACATAGTTCAAATGTAGAAACTTTGCTTTAGAAATACTCTCCATATTGGGACAAATCAGGAAATGACTAGGGTGCTTTCATGTTCTCCACTAGAACTTGAGAATTGGGCAATAACTGAGATGCACCATAGGTTTCCCTAGAGGTTACTAGTGGGTTTCTCTTCAAGAAACAAAGAACTGATCGCCATAAATTCCACAATTTGACTACTGATCCTTGCAATAAACAAAACCTTAAGAATTTACTTCGGTATCACAGCTTCAGTTGACCAAATTGGATTTTTAATACGAGTTGTAGAAGCGCTGAAAATCAGAATTTGATATTTCGTGCTGTGATTTGAGTTTAACATGGAAAAAGGCCAAACATGTAAGATGAGACTGTTAGAGCCTCAACGCATCATTCCAAAGTTCAGTTACAATGTGTCAAACCATGAATCAAAATCATCCATAATCTTAGACTTGGAGACAGGTTGAGAAGCAGAGGGTGTATGACCAGCATTAGAGTTTACCTCATTAGATGGCAAACCATCATTTTTGTTAGTTACCGTGGATGTTACTCTGAGAAGGTCATCCAGTGAGTCATCCAGACCGAGATCCGATATTGCAGGTTTAGCCAAATCATGGTCTCTCTTGGGCTGGCTGGAGACCTCCGACCTAGATGAAGTCCCTTCTAATAATGGAGTTGGTGTTCCTGCTTGTGCCACGGAACAAGGAGTACTAGACTGATCAATTGCATTAGTGGATTCAGAAATTTCAATCTCAGTGACTGAATCAAGAAGCATGTCAAGCTCTGCTTCTGCAGCTGTTGACTTAAATGCAAACGGTTTCTTCGCAACAGAACTCGTGTTTAATTCTGAAGCACACAGTAGTGAATCATTTATTCCAGCTCCTTCTGATTTCCCAGCCTCGTCCTCATAGACACTCAAAGCGTTAGAGGACTCATCAGCTGAAGTTGGATGCCAACTGCTGCTGGCTGTGGTGCCCAGATGCGAGAATTCAGAATGCTGATGTCTGTTTTTGTTGCCTTCATAGACACTAGTGGAGGTCAATGAATTGGAATCTTTTTCCGCGGTTGAACTCTTGCTTGAAGATAGACCCCCTTGACATTTCTCTTCAGCTGCTGCTTGCGACGCCTCGGAGCACTGCCAGTTATGCAGTACATGTATTAGACTAGATTACGAGATACTACAAAGACATCCTACAGGAATTCACAAAAATAAAATTTTACACAAATATTGAACATTCTGAACTATAAAGTACTTGATTATCTTATTAGCTAGAAGGCCGAGAAAGGTACAGATTATTCTGAACTATAGTATACTCTATATATGATGTAATGTAAATCGCTATTTCTTTGGATTTACAATGGACAGCCTGGAGTCACAAACATCAAGACGGTCTCAAGCAGTAACTATACACAGTCATTAAATATGACAACAGCCAAAATTTCAGTGTCCAACACAAACTACAGAATGAAAAGAAGAAATGAGGTAATGCTGCATTCAACTTAACATGATAGTTTAGAAAGGCATTGTGTGACTGCAGCACATTCTAATCAACCGAGAAGGTATTATAGCTGACATCCCAAAACGACTAAACATAGAAAACAAGGTTATCTTGCAGGGTAAAGAGGAAATTGACTAGAATTTAAAAGCCTTACCAAAAAAAAAAAAGCTCAATAATGGAACACATGTCGCTAAATATACATACTATATAAGACGAGAAATCATTTTATGCTATTTTAGCACACTGAAGCAGTAACATAATAAATTTTTTGGAGTAGCTGGAGAGGAAACCATATATCTTTTGATGATTCACCTGCATCATATATACTAATGCAGGACTTTTCTATGAACAGACATTGCCGCATCTCAATTAAATGAGAGGCCCCATGTTTCCAGCATATATAACCATTAACCAACATTAAATTTTGGGAGATATAACATAGAAGGAAATCATAGATAAAAGTACATACTGGTTCCAAAGGAAGAAGATCTGGTTCAATGAAAAGCCTCTCTGATAGACTTGCTCTTTCAAGCTGCTCTGAAAGAGCATGCAGGTCAAGTGAAAGAAATGATGCCTGCAAATATAAGAATGGCATAGTTATCATTGAGTTTAACCACATGGTAGTCTAGCATCTGGCTATCAACACAGGAAATAGTGAACGTCAATACACATCACATCATCAGGAATAGCTAGTGAGCAAGCATCTCTTGCATGTAAACAACTTTCTTGCCTTCATCAGCGGATAATCTTACTGTCAACTGATTGAGCCAAAACACATAAAGCATGTCTAATTTGACAGTCCATTGAAAGAATGATAGATTTTGCACTTAATTTATAAGGCAGCTACATTAACTGTTAGTATATCTAATAAAGCATAGTTAACTTATGCATACAGAGTCGTCATCTATGGATAGTTGAAAAATATTAGTGTAGCAAAAGGTACATGTTACAAAGCCATACGGTAAAGGAGTGGATTTTATTCAATCATAGCTTGATTTAGGAGGTTATGCAAATACACCTCTTCTTCATACTACAGCTTCTGTTTCTATTTGCTTCCAATGAATCAGCAGGGTCTGAGACTGACCAACCACCTATTTAGGTGGATTAAGGAAGAAGTCTCGGTGACTTGCAAAGATAAAAGTAAAATTCTTCATGTTAATCTTGCCAGAAGTCTGTATGGTCTGACACTAGTCTTCTTAAATTGATGGAAATTCAAATAAGGAAATTGTTTTGTTAAATAGTTGTCCCACATTGTTGTATAAAAGTTATTCTATGCCTTTTGGGTTGGGTGCTCATATTAGTTCACATGGTATGAAAAGCCATATTTTGCAAGCCCATTCTAATGCCTCGTGAGTCCACATTAAAGTCCATGTCTGGATTCAGGAATGAGATTATACGTGCTGGAGGATGTTAAGGTAGATATGTCATACGTTGGGAGTAAAAACGCATCCAAAGAGTTTTAAAAACGTCTAGGCCACTTCATCGAGTGTCTTAATTTTTGAGTTGGATACTTAGATCTTTTGGTATTAGAGCTTGGGTTCAAATCTCATCACCACCCATAAACAAAAACATTTTCATGTTCCTGGCTCAAGAAAATCAGCCTACATGTAAGGAGGCTTGTTCAAGATCAAAATAAAAGATAAAAGTATCTCCTACTAATAGCTTAGACTTTTAAATTAGATTGTTTTAAAAGGCACGAAGAAACAAATTCAGATTGTAAAATTCAATTGCATGTATTACTTGTATTCCTGGAAGGATGGGAAAACTATTTTTAATTTGCATGATGCGCTAGACTTGCTAGAATATTTAGGAATTTGATGTATTCAAGCCTAGCTTACTTTTTTTTGTAATTCCCCAGAGCTTGATACAGTTTTTTAATAAAATCTTACCAAATGAAAAAAAATTAGATCGTCACAATTTAAAATGACATAGCAGGAAAACTATGTAATGATTATCTCAAGATTATACTACTCATTAGAATCGTCACAACCTAATAATGATATAGCAGGAAAGATCCGTACCAACTAACAATCAGCTAAAGATTATGCTTCTCACTGGAAATCTCAGGCTTGGCTTTTCTTTAACCACGATAAAGCCAAAAATCTCGGGCTTAGATGACCTTACAACAAAGAATAGCAAAGAGAATGCACATGGACGAAGGCAACAGGGGCCAATGGGTGTAATTGAACCGACTACCTTTTGGCTTATGTAGACACACATCATAGTGCCAAGACTCATCCTCCTTAGTTCTAAATATACAGTAGAACAATATATAAAAGTATACTCCCATCATTCCAATTTATATGAATCTATTTCCTTTATAGTCCATTCTTTTAAGAATGGCCCATCTAAATTTGGAAACAATTA